ACAGCCGTAGGGGGGGCCGTCCCCCCCGCTCCCCCCCGGCCTCCCCCCCCCCCCAACAGCAGCAATGGCAGCACTCTGGGAATCACAATAGATCTCCAGCCCTCACCTGGAGGCTGCCAATAGTAGTTCTTGTGGAGGAAATGGCTGGTTTGGAGGGTGGAGTCTATGGCAATATACTGGTCTAAAGTTCCTCCCATCCTCAAATCCCACCATTCCCAGGCTCCACCCTTCAAATGTCCAGAAATTTTCCAACCTGGAGTTGGCAACGCAATTTCCTTGCCACCCAACAGACAACCTACCCTTATCTGCCTCTCAGTCTTCAGCTTTCTGTCTCCACCTCCCTCCCCCATAGCCCCTACCTAAGAAAATTACAATCTTTCTCCACAGTGGGGACCAAAGCAGCTTACATTATTCTCTTCTCCTTTTTATCTGCACAACAACCCTGTGAGGTTGATTAGGCTGCAAGTATGTAACTGATCCAAAATCACCCAGCCAGCTTCCACCGAAAGGTGGGGATCTGAACCTGGCTCTTGCAGACTGTTACATCGCAATGGCTTTCATAGGGTGGCTGCTGATGAACAGTAGCAAGCAGCTGGGCCTAGTTGAGTCATGCAAATCAGGTGGTATCAAGTCACCCAGAGGGTGCTGCCTAGGGATGCCAGCCTCCAGGTGGGACCTGAGGATCCCCTGGAATAACTGCTTATCCCCAGACTACAGAGATAACTTCCCATGGAGAAAATGGATGCTTTGGAGGGTGGAATCTGCTGGTGGCTGGGGGGACCTGGCAACCCTAGACTGCTGCCAGGTCTAGGGTAGCCAACCTCCAAGTGGGACCTGGAGACCCTCCAGAATTACAACTGAACTCTAGACAGCAGAGATCTGTCTCCCTGCAAAAAACGGCTGCTTTGGAGGGTGGACTCTGTGGCATTATACCCAGCTGAGGCCTCTCCCTTCCCCAAACCCAGCTCTCCTTAGAGTCCACCACAGAATCTCTAGGAATTCCCCAGTCTAGCACTGGCAACCCTTGTCAGGCCTGGCCCCAAGGCTCCCTCTTTCAATGGCCAAAATAGGCCAAGAAAGGGCCCTTCACCCTCCCCCTCCCTTTTACTGACAGAGCCATTTAGAAGCTTCCTGCCCCCTTCAATGTTCTAATCTCTCACCATTGATGCCTGAAGCAGATCCCTCCAGAGGCCTTTTCAAAAGGTACTGGGGGGGGTGTTTAACCATCCCTGAAGGGTCCCTCCCCACTTTGGGGGGTTTTCTGCAGACCCAGGAAGGCCCCTGAGCATGTAGGAAAAGCTGCTGGGGGAGAGTGAGCCCTCTGTTGGTGGAAATAAGTATCCTCACAGAAAAAAGAGAGTGCCTATTAGATATATAGATTTAGGTTACGAGAGATCCTAGAACAAGCCCCCAGCACCTGAAATACTATGGATTGCTAAGCCTTCTCATGATAGTACCATGGGAAGTTCAGTGGACTTCATCTGTGCTGTGGTTTTGTACACTGATGAAGAAACACTCCTCTTCAGAAGGTGTTTTGCTCCTGTGGCTAGTTTTTCTAAATAGTTTAAATCTGTGGAAAAATTTGGAAAGCATAGGTTGTTTACATCTTATAACGATTTATGCTGTTTTCTAATGTGCAATTTGAATCTTGCTGGATAATATTTTTACTGTATTTCAAAACTGGAAGCTACTTTTGATTGGTTACTTCTTTTAAAACTGTATTGAAATTATTTTATTTTATATCATTTCAAGCGTACAGTAACTTACCACTTTCAGGACATAAGGGCAAATATAGATGTTTGTAATACATGTATCTATGAGTAAATTTACTTCCTAGTAGGAGCCTCAGCTAACTCTGAACCAACACCAATCCTCTTTTATATAAGCTGTCTCTCACTATTCCTTGCATGAGAATACTGCTTTATGCATGTACAGAACAGTCAGACACAATGAAATAAATAAATGAAAATAGGGGTGTGACCCTCAACTGAAGAAGGGATCTTAAAAATATTTTTGGCTCCCCTTACTAAACTTGGCACTATTCACAATTGTGTTTAGCTTTACTTATTTCTCCACAAAAATAAGAGACGAGCAGAAGAGTAATTTATAAATATCCACACTTCCCCAAGGTCAGAGAGACCAAATATGGAGGCAGATGACTTTATGTTGCTCACTGTCAAATAACGTACCTATGCT